ACTGACCAACCGGCTTGTTTTTTTCAAACGTGTGAAATGTTGTTGATGTGGTTTCGTTTTTTTGTTCTTTTCTTTCCGCTTCCATCTGAAAACCGATGTTTGTGGATTACGAGACTCCACAGAACGTGACCGAAATTAGACAACATCGTCGTTTCATCCGACGACGAAGTTACCCCGACCATGTGCATGGCAGCTATGACGACATTGACACTGCCAAGTTCAGCACCGCCCTCGTGATATCGATGATGACCAAACGTCATCGTTGATATCTCAGCGTCTGTACTTGAATTGACAGTGTCCACGTCGTCACAGTTGCCATGCGCATGGTCGTCATCATCGTTCAAATCGTCGTTGGATAAAACGACGATTTGTTGTCACCATCGCACTGTCATACACGCATGCATGAAGGTGACATGTGGATGTCATTTTCTTTTATTAAAAAGTAGTACGACATATAATTTGTTTATTTTTGTGTCGAATGTGATCTGTTGCATGGTCTTCAAAAATTTAAGAAAAAATAAAATAAAATAATGGTCACCATTATTTCTCGGCAACATAACGAACGAGTCGTGCTTTCCCGTTCTGTAATCCGGAGACACACACACACACACACACACACACACACACACACACACACACACACACACACACACACACACACACAGAGGAAGTTGTATTTCGAAGCTCGCAAAATGTGCATTAAAAAAGGACATGGACCGCCAACGCACATACACACACGCGCACACACACACATACATAACAGGGGGACGAGGAGGGAGGATGATCGGAAGAGCGGAGGAATCACCAAGCACAGGTAGCAACTGGTAAAGGCATAAAAAGGCGGACAGAACATGTAAATAAATAAATAAATAATAAATAATAAAAGATAAACCCTGATGAAAGATTGTGCGGAATAATGACGACCAAGAAACCCGAACGAGTACGACAGGGCAACACACCCCAATTGTCGTACAAGCTCGTTCATAGCATATTACGCCACAAAAAGGTGAGCGCAGGACAGCAGTTATGGGCCATGAGAATGCTCACAGCCTACAATAAACACGAGTCCGATTATGCGCACAGCCCGTGCGCGCACTGAAACGAACAGCAAGGCATGCGCATTCTCCAAGTAGTGACGGTTCGCTCAACTGATAGGACAATCAGAAGGCATGTGATACGGATCGTATCCTCACAGATCAGGGGGAGTTGTTTCAATTTTTTCTGCTATTTTTTTTGTTCTTATTTTTGTTTTTTGTTTTTTGTTTCTGTCTTCTTTTGTCTTTTTTGACTTGGGTTCTATTTTCTGCTCAAGTTCCCCCGCCTAACGTCAACAATAACGCTTGTATCGCCCACGGGCAATATCCCTCGGAGAGTGACAGTGACGGGGCACTTTGTTCTTTCTTTCTTCTGTTTTTTTTTTTCTCTTTTTTTTTTTTTTTTCTTTTTTTCGTATTTTCGTATTTTCTTCCTTTTTTTCTTATTTTTTACACCGATCGCCGGCAGTACGTTTCGACCAATTGGGTAGGACGATCAGAAGGCGCGTGATACGGATCGTATCCCCCCAATGAGGGGTAGTCATCTCGAACTTTTCTACTATGGTGTTGTTTGATTTGCTTCCCGCCTCACGTTACCATCGACGTTTGTATTGTCCGCGGGCAATATCTCTCGAAAAGTGACGATGACGGGGCACTATTTGAGCAAGTGGAACATCCCCCCGACTCCCATCATCGGATCAGCGCACAGGCTTTCCGCTGGCCGTAATTCAGGATTGCGGGCCGAACGGCAGCATACATTCCAGTTGACTGACGATCGGGCAGGCGGTGTTCTGACCCCTGTACCGGGACGTCGGTGCTTCGCTGTTGTCCTCGCCATGGACTACCAGGTGGATCAGGAATTGATGGATCGGATGATCGATGACGAAGAAGACAGGGTATAAGCTTCCTCGCCCTCACCTCCTGAACTTCCTGACTATTTCGGTCGCTTGTGATGCACCACGCATACACTAAGAAACTGCGCGATCTTTCATTCTTTGCGCTATTCTCGCTTTCCACGTAGGGAGGCTAAGTTGCTGATGATGCTAATCTTCTTTCCGCTTCAGCTTTTGCGCTGGGCAGTCTGCAGGTTAGTCGAGCTAGGGGTTATGGCATTGAATATAGAGGGGGCAGATGAGAAGATGGGGATAGCTATCAAGATGTCAGCCTACGTTTTGCTCGCTTTTGTTGCTTTGCTTGCTTTTCTTTCTTTTCTTGCCTTCTTACACCACTTGCAAGCTTTGTCGCCTCCATCGCCGCTCCGACTCACGAAACATGTGTGACCTTAAAGCAGGTGTTCCCTTTGATGAAGTCGTGTACTGGTGGCTAGCGGCAGAAAAGCGCTTCAGGGATCGCCACTACCCTCCCTGCTTTAGCTGTTGTGGCAGGCCTCCCATATTACGTAGAACTGCCTCTGGGGATACAGCTGGTTTCTTCATGTTCATTCATTTTTCATATGAGTATTCACGTCACGTTGTTTGTTGATCGGGAAGGAGGAGAGAGAGATGACACTTCAACTTTCTAGCCGGAAGAGAATTCATTCTTTGTTGTAAGGAAGGCGTTGGATGTGTACTCGGCGTATATTTGTCTTTGAATTGTGTTCACTCATGTTTTGAATTTGCGATCGATGTATGAATGCTATGAGTTAGGGGCAGAGGTGGAGAATAATGACTACGATGCATGACTTATATATAAGTATATATGTGAATGTATATGTAGATGTATATGTATATATAAAGGAATTTGTTATGACGAGCGGGGTTGCCTCCATACATAAGATCGATCCACGTATCGGCCGACAGAGATGGGCAAGGGGATTGGATAGTATGACGGGAGTCGCTGATAGCTCTTGGTCTAATATGAAGGATACCGATATTCCCGATGATATGTATATGATCGGATCGCTTAGTGATAAATGGGGATGGTGGGAATGTGTATTTTTTTACTATGCATTTTGAACGAAAATTATGAGAATACATGCATGAGCGGATATGTTTGGATTCCACTAGGGTAATCAAAGAAATTGAGCACGTGATTGTTTTTCCCGCCGGCCTTGGGTGGAAGAACGATTCCACTGACGGCGCTCGATCGGGTCACAGATTGATCCACGGGCGGGCCRATGGTTGGTATCGCTCCCCCACTCTAGCGCTGCGATCACTTTTTTCCAGACCTCACGGGAAATAACTTATTACTTACTCATGTCTCCCGAGTATAGCAACCCATTAGAAAGCTACATCTTCCCTCGCCGATGGTTTGAGTGTATTGGACGGATCTGTATATGGGCGTAAGATTATGRAATTTTTATGATTGCATGCACCGGAGGGACAGATATGATCCCCCCCATATGGCCTGATTGAGAGGCGATTACGCTGTACGGTAGGACTAATATGCCACGCTACCCCAGCAGTAGTGCCGACAGGACCCGCATGACTCGGATTACATGGACGACATCCTAGGATTATTCCTATAAGTGTTGTTTTTTCAGGGCGCAGGAATGAGTTTGCGCTACATGGCGAATAAGCCTTTCATCATGGACAAGGCGCAAACACCCTTGTATATAGATATAAATCCGCAAATAGTATGAATGGTATTACAACAATTGCATGATGTCTTCTAAGCACAAACAGCTCGATGATGCCCGATGCCCCATACGCACGCATCGACCGTCGTATTATCTGCACTCGATCCTATGCACTTACGATCTTTTGCTTGAAGGTATTGCCGATTGGGGGATATATGTTCTTCTTCTTTTTTGAAATCTACTCGCCCTCCGGAGGATATATCTCTGGGCCAACAGATTGCACATACGTGGAGACAGGTTCTGGTCATGTTTTACGCGCAGGAATCCCACGAGACGGGTTATGTGGCATGAGAAGTCCTATGCTCGCCTGATAAGGACAACGGGGGTATGTCGATGAATTACTTCGGAGTTTGATGGCAATACGGTTTCCGTATTTTGCATCGACATGCTTGTCATGAAGAACTCAAACACACGCACAGGGGGGTACCTCCCGTCAGCGCTGTTGGTGATGTGTTCCACCAACCATACCCCTGTGGTACAGGCGTAGTGTTGCATAGGCAGGCGCCAACGAGGCCCGATCGGACAGGGAAATGCGATTGCATGAGATCACCTCGTCCACGTAGCTGCCGGGAAGAAGCTGAAATACGTCGCTATTCCACCAACCTTCCTTGTTTCAAGTCGGTACGTATTGTGTCGTACATGTGTTTGCGTTCTTTTGTGTCTTTGTGTTTGCTGCAGATTCCGCCGAAGGAGTTCTTCCCGGGAGGTTGGTGGGACGAACTCACTTGTAAGTACGAATGGCTAAAGGAACAGTCGTGGCCCAGCAAACCGGCGCAAGCGCTCATTGCCACACTGAAACCCGAGATCCTGGATGCGATGAAGAGACTGGTCGAGACGAGGGACTTTCCAAATATTTTCTACATGATTGGATGTAGTGATGTTGCTAATCTTGTGTGTGTCTGGGATCTAGGGAAGGATGCCTTTGTTGCCAAACTCCTAGACACTGCTACGTGCCTAGAGAAGAAGAAAACGGATTATGAGAGAGAATGCTTGGAATTGCCGGCCAGAACCGCTAAAGTTGAGCAAACGTTTCTTAATATTTGGGGATCAGATCACTCGCATTTGGAGGGGCAGGCCGCTGAGACACGGCAGTCAGGTGCACCATCGCAGGAGCTCTAGCCATGGACGATAAAGAGATGGTTGAGTTAAACGCAGCCATAGCCGCAGTAACCGCCACTGCTAACTGTACCCCGGAGAAGGCCTCATCCTCCCAAGGAAGGCAGTACACTGCATTTGCTCCGCTTCCATCCCTGCACTGGGTTGAGCACACTAGCACGGGGTTCACGCATGCGCTGTGGAAACTCGATACTTTTAATCATCTCGCTCCGTTCTCGATAAAGGCCCTCATTTTTCTCGCCAATCTGACCGACGAGGAGGTCGCCACATGTGAGGCAAACGCAATGACTTGCGTGCTCCCGTACTGCCCCCTAGGAAAAAAGGCCTTTAACCCGACCCTCCTAACGTTTCCACTACTATCGGCCCTCGACCACACGAAATGTGATTACTCCAGCCCAGTCATGTGGCAGAAGAAAGTGAAGACAACCCCTGAGATCGATCTGAAAGGTCTTAGGAAGAGCTGGAATGTCGGTCGGCCATACCTCAGATGCAGATGCGCTACGGAGAGGAAAAAGGACCGTGGGGCGGGACCGATTCGGATGAACCACACGATCTGGTATTTACTCATGCATCCAGACATCCTTTTCCCCAACGTCGCCTCCATGAAGGTGAGAACCTCTACCTTCATCCACTTTTTGTGTGTATCATGGAAAACCGCGGTGGAGGTCTGTCTTACCTTCATGTTCATACGAGAGATCACGACCGATATGATCTCCGCACTCGAAAAAGATCCTTCCCTCACCTCTGAGTCCGTCATCTGCAAGGAAAAATGGAGGTACAATACCCCGCTGACCATCGACAGGGTGTTGCTCCCCACAAGGATTACCGACAATCCAAGGATCAGAGCCAGGGGCAACTGGAACGAGCAAGGGAACGCCCAAAAAATACAGCGCAACAACCTACCTATAGTCGGCTCTCCCCGGTAAAGGGTACTCCCCTACGAACCAAGGGACAGGCCGGACGTGGCGCAGCAGATGGTCCCCTTCAGGGACCTCCCGCACAATGCGGGTGCCTCTGGTGGAACAGGATCGCGGGATCCAGTAGGAGGCGCTCATCAGCCACAGGAGCAGATGGGAGGCAGGGTGTTGCACAACATGGCGGTAGAAGGGCAAAGAGCTAGAGGCAGGGGTGGCTCTCGACTACTTTCCTCACAGACAGGGTCGGCGATCTCCACGGCGGAATCCACTAGGAATGGCAGATTACGAACGAATGTGTCCTCCAGTGGGGGGAAAAAAGAAAAAAGAGGTTGTATCGGCACCCCTTGACGCACACGCGCAAGGATCTGAACCACGCACCCGCATGAATTCCTCTCCGACGAATCAATCATTCAGCGTTACTCAAGTGATGCGTGATAATGATTTTTCTCTGTTTTTTTTTCCCCCCCATTTTTTTCTCTCTTTTTTTCTCTTTTTCTTCTTTTTTTCCTTTTTTCCCTTTTTCTTTCCCTTTTTTTTCTCTTTTCCTTCTTTGATTGTTCTTTCGCCCTTTTCCCCCTTCCCCTGTTGCTATCTTATTTTCTTGAGCTTATCAACGCAGTATAACTATATCTATATATTGCTTGTCGGGGGTTGTTCCTCCAGCCTTTCACTGGTCACCATTTACACTAGAAACGGTCCCCTCTAACAATGGTCCTCCCACCTATGAGCTTCCGTGCACTACGCAGGATGAGAGCTTCGACCTGGAGGAAGGGGGCTGCATGATCGTGCTTCCGTCAGGAAGATCCGCATGGAAAAGAAGGGAGCGGGAACAAGACCAATTTGTACACGTCAGATACACGAGCAGGCTTATGGAGGCGGTACCCCTGAGAAGCATGGACTTGGAGGCGCTGAAGCAGGTGATGGGAGAGAGATCGACAACTTGGCTGGAGGATGTGATCATCGGGTGGCGATATGACGAAGCTTTAGGCGCCAAGGTTTGCAAACCGGGAAGGGTATTTAGGAAGTTCAGGATGAACGAATGGGAGGCAGGGTATGTGCCGGAGTTCTGCCAGTGCGGCGCAGGGAGACACGCCGAGTTCCTCAACACTGCCACCATCAAGATGCTCCCGGAAGAAGGTACCTTGCACGTCATCACGAATGATACCGGCGTAACGAACAATGGCCAGCTGCAGCTCATGCTTAATGCGGGCCTGAATCACATCCCGCTCAGATCGCTCGATGAGGAGTTTGTGATGGACGAGGTCGAGGTGGCGCTGGATAAGATACTCACCACACAGAGATGCGATGAAGAGCTGTCCAAAGGGGAGGCGAGGCAAGTGAAGGCGATCGTGCGAGAGAACGCGAGGAAGTCCATTAGCCTCATTAGAAGCTTTCGTACGAAGCATATGCATATCTCAGGCGAACCCATCAATAGCGTGGCGGTAAGGGGCGAGATCGAGTGGCTGACGAGTAGGTATCTGGTTTGTCCTACGGACAAGGCGTCACACACCCCCACGATCATCTGCATCAACTTCATCAGGCGGCTGGCATTACAGAGACTCTCGGGGCCGGAGTTCACACCTGTCCCGGATACGCCGGAGCAGGCCGCGGCAAGGCTAATGCAGAAGGCTGCTGCCTTCACTCATGTTGGGCACGAGGCGCTGCCACTCCCGCACCTCATGACGGTGTACAAGGCACACAAGCAATCCTTCAGATGGATTACAAACACGACGGGCTCGGTGTTCTCCCCGGTAGCAGACGTTTGCGAATGTCTACTAAAGCTCCTGGCAGGGGATGTTCAGGCCCTTTGCACAAGTAAGAGCGAAGAGGTTCGTGCCGATCATGGGGTCAAACCCAACTTCTGGTGGCCGATTTCCTCGATAGGGGAGTTCGTTGCAAACATCCCACGACGCATCTACTCCATCTTCACCGGGGATATCACAAGGTGCTTTGAGCCGATACCCACGGACGAATCAAAGGACGGGCTGCTGAAGGCGATCAGTTTCTTTGTTAGCTGCACCATGGAATGGAGGAGGGCCATGACGACCAGGGATGTGATTGCGATCAGTGTCGCAGCAAACGATACGCTGCACCCTTACTGGGTAGCTGGCGATCAGGAAAGGGACAGGGGCAGGCTGTACTTCGACGAACAGGGGATCATCGACGAATGTGAATGGCTCGTCTCCAACGGAGTGGTACAGATGGGGAACAGGGTCTGGAAACAGATACTCGGGATTCCCATGGGTCTGGCTTGTTCCCCTATCTTCTGTGATGTGTATTTCTTCAAATATGAGTACGGACTAATCTCGCACCTGGTCAAAATGCAGGATTGGATGCTTCGAAGACACCTACAGATATATAGATGATCTGTGTTCTCTAAACAACACGATCATTACGGATTTCCTCAAGAACGATGTCCATGGCCAGAACCCAGGCCGCAGGATCTACCCGCACAATTTCATCGACGTTAAAGAAACAACCGAAGTTGTGATCGATGGACATGGGAGAGCCGCAAATTTTCTCAACCTCTCGTTAACGGTCATGTCCACCAGGGACGGCATATACTTCACCCCGAAGCACGATAAGAAGAGAGGTCTCTCATTCTCCCCCGTGAAATTCATGAAATTTAAATCAAATCGCTCCATCGCACAGTCTCTACAGATTCTGACGGCGCAAACCGTCTTGTCCCTCGTCATTTGCTCTGATGAGAAGGAAGCTGCCCTGTAAATTAACAATTTAGTAAAAACCATGGTCTCAAACGGATTTGGATGGAGGGAATGTTGGAAGATTGTGGACAAGGTTTTCCACAACAGGCAGAAATACCAACCTGGCAGGGTGATTGACGAAATGGTAAAGGCCAATCTGATCACCAGATATGGCATGTACTAATCTGTGTTCTGTGGTGTTTGTGAGTGTGTGTGGGGACCGGGGGGCTACAGGCCGGAAAGGCCCGATGCCTCCCGGCATCCAGCCTTCCGGCCTGTGGCTCACTTTCCGGTGGGACAGGGGCGGGGCACACACACACACACACACACATACACACACATAACAGGGGGACGAGGAGCGAGGATGATCGGAAGAGCGGAGTAATCACCAAGCACAGGTAGCAACTGGTAAAGGCATAAAAAGGTCGGACAAAACGTGTAAATAAATAAATAAATAGATAATAAATAATAAAAGATAAACCCTGATAAAAGATTGTGCAGAATAATGACGACCAAGAAACCCGAACGAGTACGACAGGGCAACACACCCCAGTTGTCGTACAAGCTCGTTCAAAGAATATTACGCCACAAAAAGATGAGCACAGGACAACAGTTATGGGCCATGAGAATGCTCATAGCCTACAATAAACACGAGTCCGATTATGCGCACAGCCCGTGCGCGCACTGAAATGAACAGCAAGGCATGCGCATTTTCCAAGTAGTCACGGTTCGCTCAACTGATAGGACAATCAGAAGACGTGTGATACGGATCGTATCCTCACAGATCAGGGGGAGTTGTTTCAAATTTTTCTGCTGTTTTTTTTGTTCTTGTTTTTGTTTTTTGTTTCTGTCTTCTTTTGTCTTTTTTAACTTGGGTTCTATTTTCTGCTCAAGTTCCCCCGCCTAACGTCACCAATAACGCTTGTATTGCCCACGGGCAATATCCCTCGGAGAGTGACGGTGATGGGGCACTTTTTTCTTTCTTTCTTCTGTTTCTTTTTTTCTCTTCTTCTTCTTTTTTTTTTTTTTTCTTTTTTCTTTTTTTCTTTTTTTCTTCCTTTTTTTTTTTTTTTTTACACCGATCACCGGCAATAACGTTTCGACCAACTGGGTAGGACGATTAGAAGGCGCGTGATACAGATCGTATCCCCCCAATCAGGGGTAGTCATCTCGAACTTTTCGACTATTGTGTTTGTTTTTATTTTCGTTTTTAATTGTTTGATTTGTTTCACGTCTCACGTTACTATCAACGTTTGTATTGTCCGCGGGCAATATCCCTCGAAAAGCGACGATGACGGGGCACTATTTGAGCAAGTGGAACATCCCCCCGACTCCCATCATCGGATCAGCGCACAGGCTTTCCACTCGGCCGTAATTCAGGATTGCGGGCCGAACGGCAGTAGGCATTCCAGTTGACAGAAAATCGGGCAGACGGTGTTCTGAGCCCTGTACCGGGACGTCGGTGCTTCGTGGTTGCCCTCGCCATGGACCAGGTGGATCAGGAATTGTTGGATCGGATGATCGATGACGAAGAAGACAGGGTATAATCTTCCTCGCCCTCACGTCCAGAACGTTATGACTATTTCGGTCGCTTGTGATGCACCACGCATACGCTAAGAAGTTGCACGCTCTTCCATTCTTTGCGTTGTTCTCGCTTTGCACGAGGGGGGCTAAACTGCTGATGATGCTAGTCTTCTTTCCGCTTTAACTTCTGCGCTGGGCAGTCTGTAGGTTAGTCGAGTTAGGGGCTATGGCATTGAACAGAGAGGGGGCGGATGAGAAGATGGGGATAGCTATCGAGATGTCAGCCTACGTTTTGCTCGCTTTTGTGGCTTTGCTTGCTTTTCTTTCTTTTCTTTCCTTCTTACACCACTTGCAAGCTCTGCCGCCTCCATCGCCGCTCCGACTCACGAAACATGTGTGACTTTAAAGCAGGTGTTCCCTCTGATGAAGCCGTGTACTGGTGGTTAGCGGCAGAAAAGCGCTTCAGGGATCGCCACTACCCTCCCTGCTTTAGCTATTGTGGCAGGTCTCCCATATTATGAGGAATTGCCTCTGGGGATGCAGCTGGTTTCTTCATGTTCATTCATTTTGCATATGAGTATTCGCGTCATGTTGTATGTTGATCGGGAAGGAGGAGATAGAGATGACACTTCAGCTTTCTGGCCAGAAGAGAATTCATTCTTTGTTGTAAGGAGGGCGTTGGATGTGTACTCGACGTATATTTGTCTTTGAATTGTGTTTACTCATGTTTTGGATTTGCGATCGATGTATGAATGGCTGATTTGGGGACAGATGTGAGAAAGTAAAAGTACGGGGCATAGCTTATAATTATATTAAGTCAAGCTTTTAACGAGCCAGGTTGCCTCAAGACATAATATCTATCCACCTTCGTCCACCAAGATCGGCGAAGGGATTGATACTATGATGGATGGCACCGACTAATGCTATGAGTTAAGGGTGGAGGTGGAGAATAATGACTACGATGCATGACTTATATATAAGTATATATGTGAATGTATATGTATATGTATATGTATATATAAAGGATTTTTTTATGACGAGCGGGGTTGCCCCCTGACATAAGATCAATCCGTGTATCGGCCGACAGAGATCGGCGAGGGGATTGGATACTATGACGGGAGGTGCTGATAGCTCTTGGTCTCGTATGAAGGATACGAATATTTTCGATGATATGTATATGATCGGATCGCTTGGTAATAAATGGGTTAAGGGCGGAGGTGGAAAATAATGACTAATGCTCTGAGTTAAGGGCGGAGGTGAAAAATAATGATTACGATGCATGACTTATATATAAGTATATATATGAATGTATATGTAGATATATATGTATATCTAAAGGATTTTTTTATGACGAGCGGGGTTGCCTCCAGACAGAAGATCGATCCGCGTATCGGCCGACAGAGATCGGCAAGGGGATTGGATACTATGACGAGAGGCGTTGATAGCTCTTGGTCTCATATGAAGGATACCAATATTCCCGATGATATGTATATGATCAGATCGCTTAGTGATAAATGGGTATGATGGGAATGCGTATTTTTTTACTATGCATTTTGAACGAAAATTATGAGAATACATGCATGAGCAGATATGTTTGGATTCCACTAGGGTAATCAAAGAAATTGAGCACGTGATTGTTTTTCCCGCCGGCCTTGGGTGGAAGAACGATTCCACTGACGGCGCTCGATCGGGTCACAGATTGATCCACGGGCGGGCCRATGGTTGGTATCGCTCCCCCACTCTAGCGCTGCGATCACTTTTTTCCAGACCTCACGGGAAATAACTTATTACTTACTCATGTCTCCCGAGTATAGCAACCCATTAGAAAGCTACATCTTCCCTCGCCGATGGTTTGAGTGTATTGGACGGATCTGTATATGGGCGTAAGATTATGRAATTTTTATGATTGCATGCACCGGAGGGACAGATATGATCCCCCCCATATGGCCTGATTGAGAGGCGATTACGCTGTACGGTAGGACTAATATGCCACGCTACCCCAGCAGTAGTGCCGACAGGACCCGCATGACTCGGATTACATGGACGACATCCTAGGATTATTCCTATAAGTGTTGTTTTTTCAGGGCGCAGGAATGAGTTTGATCTACATGGCGAATAAGCCTTTCACCATGGATTAGGCGCAAGCACCCTTGTATATAGATATAAATTCCGCAAATAGTATGAATGGTATTACAACAATTGCATGATGTCTTCTAAGCACAAACAACTCGATGCTGCCCGATGCCCCATACGCACGCATCGACCATAGTATTATCTGCACTCGATCATATGCACTTACGATCTTTTTGCTTGAAGGTATTGCCGATTGGGGGATATATGTTCTTCTTCTTTTTTGAAATCTTCTCGCCCTCCGGAGGATATATCTCTGGGCCAACGGATTGCACATACGTGGGGACAGGTAACAGCGATTTCGTCAAAACGAACATTTTATATTTTTTGAACGAAATTGAAATTGTCATTTTCATGCTGATTTTGGTGATTTTTTACGTTTTTAGCACATCATTTTGGGTAGGTACTCCGCATTTGTTTATAGTTTGTGCTTATATTGACCACGAGTTTTACATTGCTTTCTCACACATTTTGGGGGTTGTTAGAATTTCATTCGCATTATGTGATGCTATAGGGGTCTTTATGATGGGTTTTATTGTACTCTTCTATCATATCAATTAGCATTTACTATGTTTCGCTAAATAATATCAGTTGTTTTTCATTTTTTATTGACAAATGCATGAAGACAAGATAAACATATTGAATATCATACTAAAAAATACATATGGCATGTCCAGTCAATGACAAAAAAATTCCATGGACATCTAAAAAAGTTCGAGACATTTTGTTCCACCCTAGAATTACGAACAACGTTATGTGAATATTTTCGAAATCCATATTAAAAAAAAATTGGCTTCTTTAGACAAATACAAAGAAACATTGATGCAGAGTTTGGCTCATGTGACATATGATACATGTGCGTTGAAATATATGTACATAGAGAGACTTCATGTCTCTCTCTCTCTCTCTCTCTCTATCTATCTATCTATTTATCTATTTATCTATCTGTCTATCTATCTATCTATCTATTTATCTATCTATCTATCTATCTATCTATCTATCTATCTATCTATCTATCTCTCAATCTTTGACTAGGACAATGTCTATGAAAGTTGTTGCCGTATACTTCATACACTCCTCTACACTACGAATATGTGCAGTCGTACATGATCGTACAAAAGGTGGAAATTCGCTTCGACATCATTTTCAAAAAACTAAAATCCGACACATGACGACACGTAAAACGATATGAGCACTCGTACAAGCGCATGATCTACTCTATTGCCATCTCCGTCTACATGTGCTAAGGCACAAAATGTCTAGAAGTGCTACAGCAGCGCAAGTGAACCAGGTCGTTGCTCAGACCGTTGGCTCGGCGGAGTACACTCTTCGTGATGTTGAAGTTGGTGGTTAACTTGATTTTTTTTAATTTGCGGTTGACCCCCGTTATTTCTTCATT